TTGTTCGCCCCCCCCCCGCCCCCCCCCCAAAAAAAACGACCATGTATAGTAAGGTGTTTTTAGCCCCAAAAAACGATCATGTATAGTCAGGCGTTTTTATCCCCCCGCCCCTCAAAAAAACGCACTAAGCATTTGACTACCAGTCAGGTGATGAACAAACACTTTACATTGTCCGTAGATGTGAGTGTAAGCACGAATAGTTGTGCGGAGAAGAGGATCAGAAAATGCACAACCAAGGACATTTTTGAGAACGCACAGAAAAGCCATACCCGGATTCGAACCCTGCACCTCTGCAGCGCAACGCCGACAGACTAACCCTTGGACTACCAGGCAGTTCATGAACACTCACAGGGTTCCCACGAGTCCTTAAAGTTCATAAAAATCCACAAATCTACGACCTTAATTGTCCTTAATTTTCAAGGAAAGCTTCTAAAATCAATAAAAATCCTTACAAATTAACCTGTGGTGTTCATTTCATTTGTGTATGTCATTTTCCCCACCCTTCCAATTAATAGTCTTGTTGGAAAATGTGCCTGGCGCCCTTCCCCTCAAACCCCGCTGTCGGGCTACATGCCTTCCTGGTTCCCGCTCTGCTTTTCCCGCCGTCTCCGATCAGTTCCGATGATGATCGCGTGATCACTTCGGGTCATTTCGGGCCAATTTGACATACAGTATGTCAAATAAAGGATTCGCTGATTGCCCCTAAAAATAAAGATGTGCCTTTTCTTTGGCAGCAATGATTTTTGAACACCAGCTCAGTGATATGTGGCTTTCTGTTCATTAAATCCACCGTGAATCCCCTGCTGAATAGAGAAATAGTCCTTAAAAAATGGCTAAATTAGCCCTCAAAAGTCCTTGAAAGGTCTATAAATAAAAAGCAAATGGAAGAGTGGGAACCCTGGTCCAATAGGTCAAAATAATACCCCTGGAATGAAATGATAAATACAATATTTGGCTGTTTTGTTTTCTGAAGAAATGACTCAAGCCATTATTTTGGCAAGGTGACCATACTGTATTTAACAAAGATGCAATAACTTAAAAATGAAGACATGATAAACCACTTATCCTGTCAAGTCCTATTTTCTGAGATGACGTTAGCTCCGCCTGCTACACGTGCTAGTTTTACACTGATTTCAATATGATTGTACTCATGTAGCTAGATTGGCAACATTTAATGCTACTCTTGGTTGAAAAGAAAGGCTTTAATCAGTTGTGACTTAACATGAGCCCTGCGATCGGCTGGCAAAGTCCAATAAGTAGCCCGCCTCTCATTTCAAGTCAACTGGACTAGGATCCAGATCAGCCGAAACCGTGTTGAGGACAAGCACTATAGAAAATGGATGGACTTGACGAAGAAGGTTTGATTCCTATTAATGAGAGAAGGGAGCTTTGAAAGGCTTTTAATTTGTAGGTGTTGTTGCCAGGCAATGGTTTAGACAAAAGTAGCATTTAGAGTGTAATGGAAAACGGTGGTTTGAGTATGAATGTCTGTCCTAGATTACAAATTCTTTTTTTTTTATCCCCCGCCCCCTTGGAAAACAATGACAACTACTTCCTCAAGGAAAACAGACAAAAGTAAAGAAGTCATAATCACAGGAGACAAAAGTTATCATTTTGGGAGAAAAGTTGTAATTGAGTATTATGGAGAGGGGTGGGGGGGGAGGGGGGCAACATAAATTTTCCAAGAATAAACATGTATATTTCCAATTTTTACATTTATATAATATGAAAAAAATACTTTGAAAGCATTTCACAAATTCACAAAAGTCAACTACAAAGTTCAGTAAAAAATCCAAACGTTAAAATACTTTTTTTTAAAGTACATTGCTGAATCGTGGCAGTGAACTCAATTCACTTCATAGCAAGCAGAAATTTGGCAGACAGTAAACAATTCTTTAAAAAAAAAAAGGCTTGAAACGTCTCATTGTCACTCCCAGTTGAAGTTTACTGTCAAACTAAACATAAAACGAAGAGAATCACATGATGCACATGTATTTAAAACAACTGCATTACCTTAGATCAGCTAGCTTCATACTAACACACAACAGAAAACGCCATAGACTGCTAGTGAATGGCAACTATGTGGTGGTGTTCTAACTCTTTCAGCAATGGATATTTGAACATAAACAGTGCAGCAATGTCCGTATAGATGAAATACTTCCAGTCATGTATTATTTATCCTCTGAAAAGAGTCGCTAATACTGCGGCTTACTGAGGAGCTATGACCATCTCCATGTACTGTATATCTGTAGGGTGTTCCCCCATGACGCGGACACCAGAAGGAACATCACAATGTCAGTCGAATTGAAGCAAAAATTGTTGGTTACAAGCGTGGAACATGGAACAAAGTCAACTCAAGGCACCACTGGACCTCACAACTCTCTTGAAAGAGTTGGTCTTTCTGGACTGTTGCGTTGTGTGAAAATCTTTACATGTTCACGGCAAAAAATTAAATTTTAAAACATGACTCATAACTTTCCTATTTTTCCACGTCATGGTCAACGTAGTGAAGCTACAATGGTCAATCTAATGGACGGCTTGACTGATGATGAACTGATGGACCTTGTGCTACCGTGAGCATTTTCTAACACTGTAAAAACCACTTTTTAAATATTATATGAAATAATAAGACAGGATTTCAGTGCAATGTATGTCAACACAAACCTGATCTCCCTCATTTTACTCTCCTTCATTCTTCCAAGTGTGCCAGTAGAGATGTCCCTCTTGGTTATTTGAACACGTCAGGCGTGGATGGTGCAAAGTGACTGCCGGAGCACACGTGGCAAATATCCCACATAAATCCCGTGTGTGCATGCAATCGTCTGACTTCAGGTGTCCTCATTTGAACCGTTTGCTAAAGTTCATCGCGCTTTTGGCCTGTGAAGGAAAACAAATTTTGGAAGTAATCGTAAAGAAAAAGCTGACTTTTTCATGTAAAATTGTTGTGGTTGAAGTGTCGTCATTGAACTCTTTTATTTCCTAAGACTATAAATACGTCTTGAAAAATCATTGGGCCCGCCTACCCATGACTTATTTATACGTCTTTTATGTTTTGTTCGGTTTTTTTTTTTTGTGTCATAGAATGCAGAAGGGTCTGGTGCAGCCTCTGACTCAGACTTGTCTGCATTGTAATTCATTTAAAATCTGTCCAACAGGTGGCAGCATGTGTAATGGATCAGCCAGGGTCATGCCGCAGAAGAAGTAAAAAAATCCTAATCTCACCAGAATTAAAGCATTTTTTTTCTCGTGAAGAGATGGGAAAGATGGATTAATTTAAATTGAATAAGAACATCTTTAAAGTGCTAATCCTCTGCGTACCTCCATTTTGTTGCAACGGCGTCCCTTTAGACGTCGAGGCATTGTCCCGCCGACTAACTCCTTTGAGCAGCTGCTTGATTTCGTTGTCGTAGTCGACCCACTCGGGCACAATCCTTGCCGCCGCCGACAATTTGGGCTCTTTGGTTTTGGGATTATTGCACTGCGCCGCACACATGACACAACACAACACAACCACTTCTAAGTCTACATGGTTCTTCCTGATGGATTCGGACGTATTCACTGGAAACTGCCCTCAAGTCCGTCAAGAAATCAGCATCAGACAGAATCCCCATGTAATATGAGCCATTGACAAGTAGAGTTGCCTAACTCCATTTTGGTGATTTTGCATATTTTTAAAGCTTGATTTAGAGCAGCAGTCATCAAATATTACGCCTAAATTAAATATGACGAAAATGGAGTTAGCCCACTGTAGTCCTCAGGGGCTCATATTCCTCCCAATGGCAAGAAAATGTGGTCACATTAACCGCCGTGCGTCATTCTAGTTTGTCTCGACTGTCTCGGATGCATCTCTCACCAGGTCGATGGTCTTGGCTGCCACTTTGGAGGCGTCGTTACACCACGTCTCACACCACAGCCACTCCTGTGGGAGAGACTTGATGGCCACCTGGTGGATCATGTTGTTGGGAAGGTCCTACAAGCAGCAGGACAAGTTAAGCTACATGAGGTATAGACACAGTCAGTGGAACGAGTGCCAATAGAAGAGTTGTTTTTTAAATTCTAACATGACAAAGACAATAATGTGTCCACCAGGTGGACTGTACACAAATGAGCTTCACCTGGTCAAGGTTTGACAGACTATTTGGGTCCTGGCTCAGTGCTTGGTACTGTCCTCGCAGTCTGTCGCCAGCCGCAATCTTTCGGAACTTCTTCAAATCAACCACGTAGAGCGCACTGCAGAAGTGACACGGTTGGAGAGAGGAGACGAGGCAGGTGTGAGAAATATCCTGCTCAAAGCCCCACAAACAGCACTTCATAAAAGACAGAAAAATGACTCTGAAATTCAAATTTTTTAAATTTAAATTTCCATCCCCTTATTGAAAAACAGGACAGATTAATAGTGTATGAATTGCACAACATAAATTCATTGTGATTCAGCGACTGATTTGGTCATTGAAATGTCATACAAGTATATACATATACCATAGATGCTTTTTTTTTTTTTTAAAGATTGTTTTAACAATCTTACAAGAATTTATTTTCTAAGGAAAAAAATATTACAGGATTTTACAGCATTATTATTTTTTTTCATTATCTGTAATGCAAGACAGCTTTATTTTTTATTTTTTGGATTTGTATGTAACGCGGATTCAGTATGAGGTTGAAAATTGTACGAAAATGGATCTGTTCAGATCGGAATCAGGCCTTCCAAATGTGGATAGAAATCGGCTACATAGCGAATATGTGCAAGTGCTGTAGCGTAATTCACTGGATCAAGTGTACCTGATGTGGTATTTCCTGTGACCCAGATGCGACGCCCAGTAGCCGCTTTTCCAAAAGCGATAGCCGTCCATTTCTGTCCGGCTGTCACAAAAAGGTGTGTAGCCATAGGGAGCTCCCTCCAGGTCTAGATCTCGCAACTCCTTCAGATCTGCTCGAACTATCTGCGAAAAAGAAGGAGGAAGGAACTCCAGAGATTCTTAACACACCACTGTAACCATCTTCACAGGGTCGGTTTTCATGCTGACTTGGTCGGCATCCACAAAGATGATCTTGTCCACAGCCAGGGGGAAGAGGACGTCCAGGAAGAGGATTTTGTAGCCCCAGATGATGCGCTGCTTCTCAGTCTGCTGGTGGAGCCAGCGTGGCCACTTGTATTGCACGAGTTCGTACTGGAAGCCGTAGGCCTCCGCCATGTGGGAGATGGTCTCCTAAAGAGTCATTGGGACGGAAAAGAAGAGATCCAGGCTGCTTTATATCAATAGTTCAATATTGCTGGTGGTGGTATACTATAGGTACGTATTACAGAGAGTATGCTTGCGGACTATGTTTACACACAACGGTGACTTTTATGCGAATTTTTTTTTTTTTTTTTTTCCTTTTGTGATGTCTGAAATATCTCAGCGGTCCTGTTCTTCGATAAAATACCAAGGACAATGAAAATGTGCTTCTGCTGGCAAAATAATGTATTTGCAAACAATCACCAATGTAGCAATTCACATTTGACAAGCTTTTCAAACTATTTGCTGCTATATTGTAGTCTTATCGGCGTATTTAGTATTTCCTGCCTTTTGTGACAGTGGTTGGTCGATTTACTGTGACGAAAAAACTTTGAACAATCACAAGCTGCCTTGCATTGGTTGCATTTCAAAAGATCAGCCATATTCATGAGCATACACATTGTTTCGATACATGGTGAGACCCAATGCTGTCATTTTCTGGTCATAGTTGATTTTTTTTCTTTTTCTTTTTTTTAACTTTACCAGCTTAATGATCAAAATACAGGTGGCAATTACTTTTTTCTACCCATTCCCCAAAAAATAAATAAATAAATAAATAAATAAAATTGAAAATAAAATAAATAAATACAATTAAATAAAATTAAAAAAATCATATTGGACGACAATATCCGGCGCTGGTGCTTCTCCCTAAGGTTCTTGTTGACGTCGTGTCACATCAAAGGCGCTCAAAAATTTGACTGACAGTCACAGATACAACAGTAGAATGTGTGTGATAGTGACCCCAAGTGGACAAAAATAACACAGAAACCTCACACGCACATTTATTATTGGATTGTGCGCTTGTACTGTTGATTTAATAGTGCAGCCCTAATTGTTTTCTCAATTAGAAAAAAAAGTCAGTGAGACTTTGAAAAACGTTACAAAGAACAACTAGCTCACGCAGCTGACAAAATGGTAAATGCCCATCGTTTTGAAATCACTGCTTTCTAGTTTTGTTGGTGTGCAATAAAGACCTGTAGACTGAAGTAAGTGACGTGAAGCGATTTGAGAGCGTATGTTTGTTTACAGATGATGAAATAAAAGTGCTGCCGTGTTGCTTTCCAAGGTAGGAGACATCAAAGGAATGATGACATCACAAGGAATGTTAGAGAGGAACGTGTTATTCAAAGTGAGGCTGAGGCAAAGAAATAAGCAGCAAACTAGCTCTGTGCCTCGATCCAAACGTAATGCCAAAGTCATACACACCCAAGAAATTTGGAAACCTTGTTCAGAGGTTGGTTTCTAAATACATTTTCACTTTTGAAGATAATCTGTATCACAAAAACGGAACCCAGTGACGCACATTAGAATTGGCATGAGTTGCCCCTCCCAACGATGTCAGAACTTGATCGCTTTAATTCACATCAGTAGTTAACTGGTGCAATTGCGATGTGCAGTCAGCTAGCTTATTTTGCCTCCAGACCGAAAATGGATTTTAAATTTGGATCGTCCGCTGGTGTGACCGCTTTAGAGTGCCTCGTTGCTGACCATGAGTGCATGCATATCACGGTGAGGAAGGCGGAAGCGTGAGGAGAGGAAAAGAAAGAGAAAAAAAAAGCCAGACGCAACAGCCAGTATGTGGATTGGGATGTGGATGCATAAAAAAGATGCGAGACAAAGTAACATAAACATCCATTTTTTTCCACGTCGGGGTCGAGTTATATAATTGACTGTTGACAGGTGGGCAGGGCGTGGTTTCAGCACAGACAACTGCTTGAACTTTCATGATTTTGAATCCTCACTTTCTCAACTTGGAGATTAAAAAAATAAAATCGACAAGTACATTAAAGTTTTGTTCTTCAATTTTGTAGCATCTGTCCCTCCCTATTTAAACAAAGATGAAATGAAGTGCTTTGCCACCAGCTTGAGACATTTATACTGTAGATCATTACAAACTCATTTTACATTAATGATGTAAACATATTGCAGATTTTTGCCAGACAGGGTTTCGGAAGACGTTAAAGGCAAAATGTAGGCCCAAGTGTTACCTTGAACGAAGGGGAGAGGTAATTTTTGAGAAACCAGAACTTGACGGGCGTTTTGGTGTGGCGAAGGAGGGAGAGCATCATGATCCTGAAATAGAGGTGGAAGGAGAGGGAGAACTCAACAGGATCAAGGCTGAAAAGAAGATGACTTTTAAGGCCTGAAGCGTAACCAATGAGAGGCTCTGAGAAATGAGAAACTCATACCGCAGAAAGCGCTCATACAGATGACCGGAGGCGACTGAAAATATGTTTAGAACGTCTTCCTTCTTTTCGCCTTCATCCTTCTTGGGGCCACGTCCAGCGATGCTGTAGACGAGACAACAATTTGTCTTATTTACCCCTTGATGGATGCCTTTCATACAGTGAATCAAAAGTACGCCTGGAAAATGCCAGGTTTTTATGAAGCCGGCGACAACGAAAGAAAAACACTTTGTATCATGGTGTGCTACTGTTTTGAGGTTTGCCATTCAATATTATGATTTTATTATACTGTACTGCCGTTCTATTAGGTTCTGCCAGAGGGCTATCATTCCAATGCCTGATAGGAGATAGCGCCTATCGCAATGGATCTTGAGGGACAAATTGGATCAATAATTCTTTACATAATAAAAAAATAAATAAATAAAAAATAAACAATTGACAAACATGGAGAATCATTGAAGTGCAATCGTCAATATTGGTGGGTGCACAGCATCTTTAGGCTAAATGTGTCACAAGAGATGTGCCAAAATGCTTGGGGTGGATTGAAAAAAAAAAATACATGAAAACGCTAAGAAATGACGGTGTTACGTTCAGTTTGCATTAAGATTAAAGTGGTGTCCACTTGAGAAACCAAGACCTACAGTACATAACCCAGATGGCCACAATGGCAAACTGAGATTCGGCTAAAAATGATTTTGAAATATGGTCATGTAACGTTACTATGGCTGGGAATCACACCCACCTGGGAAAGATTTTCCAGCGAATATGTTTAACATCACATAAGGAGCTGTTATCTCAAATGTTGCTGACGCCACGAGAAAGGTCAGGCTGAGGGCAAGGAGAACTAGTTGTCTGTCTCCCCACACATACCAGCTTTTATGACTACACAAGACCACTCTGGATTTTGTCTTCTTTGTAACTGTTTGACGCGTGACTGTCAGCATCTCATTTGCATACTGCCTCAATATATTCTTGTGTCTGTTAGGGGCTGCAAGCGCGCCCTGATGACGTCTCAAAGACAGAGGCCCGAATCGACTCGTACTGAGTTGTGATGGTGGAATGAAAAGGGGGAAAAAAAGGTGTGCAAAGGATCGACAAACTGCCAAAATCCCTTTGCACTCCCTCTCTTTGTATGTATATGTATATCAATACATATATGCATATGTCAATAAACAGATTTAAGCAAGCACACTGACTGTTTTTGAAGAACAATTCGTTACCTGCGAAACCATATGTAGCAGGCTGGTAAAGGGTATCGGTGTCGTAGTATCATATCATTTTTATCTGTATGAATAGAGAGATACTGTATCTGCACGGACACGCCAAAGGAGAATTGGCACTTAACTTTTTAGTAATGACCCACCTGTGTGCTCAAGTTGCTTGGTGTATTGGACTTAGCTTGACTTGGTGGGTATGTTTAAAGTACATGAAGCTGTATTTTGAGTGGAGAGTAGACAGAGTGAATGTTCTCAAAGCAGCTGCAAGGAGTAATTCAGACAATGGCATCTCTCCGCCCATTCCAAACCAGGACTACCTTATTTGTAACATTCGTCCTCCAACCTGAAAACCTTCCATTCCACTTAACGCTCTGCCTCCAATAACCTCAGCTATGCTTAAACCTGAAAAACTGGTGAAGACTAACAGGCTAAAAGTCCTTGGGAGCATAAATTCCCCAAACGTTTTCCCACAATAGGGATCTGAATGTTTTGTAAATAATGCAAACCGTGTGCCGCTCCATTAGACTAAATGCATGGATATTTCAAGTAATCAGGGAATCACTTGCGCAACATTTCCCTTTACAGTCTGCACCATAAATGCAATTGAGTTGGTCCACTGAGACACACGGTCACATTTACTCAATTGCACCACAGTGATTTGTACCAATATCTCAGATAGTGAGCATGTCCTGGCACCACAAAACACATTATGAACTCTCAGAAGGCAAAAGTGAAAAAAAAAAAAAAAGATACCGTATTTTCCGCACTATAAGGTGCACCCAAAAGCATTCAATTTTGTCAAAAGCCGACAATGTGCCTTATAATCCATTATATATGGATCACTAATCTGATTTCTTGGACATAGTATTTAAAATGTTCTGAAAAGCGTTTTGTTACAGCTGCAGCGGTTGTGAAAGCACTATATGAATAAAGCTGTATTGTATGTTATTCTATTGTATTTCCTTTAGCGTGGCTCCATTTAGTGGATGTGTAACGCAACCGCAGCCACTATTGGAGCTTCTATTCCTATGCGTCTTATAATGTGGTGCGCACGATATATGAAAACAGTTTTAAAATAGGCCATTGATGAGGGTGCGCCTTATACTCCGAAGCGGCTTATAGTGCGGAAAATACGGTATTTGCATTCAGACACGAGATCAAGCTCGCCATTTGTAAGCACATCACCAAGACACGGTTGATGCACGGACTTGCCTCACCAACACCTGTGGGGGTTTCAATCAATAAATGACCTTCCTTACATCTTCGAGAACAAATCCCAAGTAGTAGTCCCAAGATTACAAATGAATGATGGAGGCAAGTGAAGACTCAAGTATCTATGATGTCTTCGTTACATTCAACTAGTTTCTCCATCTGATTGGCGACAAACAGCTTTCTTTTGACCGGGATAAGTTGGATCAAGAGATGAGTGAGTTCTCTCTCCGAAGGTAAATGAAAGTGACGTCACGCCTATTACGATGGAATGTTCAAATGTCGATGTTCAAACCGCATTATGTTACAGTGGATTACAATAATATTAAATACACTTTAGGAATAAAGCCTCTTTCTCATTTTTGTTGAATACTTAAGATTGGTTGTACTGGAGAGTTAAGAAGAATTTTGGGGTGATACTTGCGGTAACAAGTTTGAGAAACACTGCAAAGTTGTGCTTAGGTGTAAATGTGTGACTTGTTTGTCCATACAGAATTTGGTCCAGGGTACACCCACTCACAACACCCTCCATGCGTTTTGACAACGTCTTGCTAGTGCTCAACACTAATGAGGACAAGCGGAATAGAAAATTGATGGATGGATTAATAATACAGTGGTGGGCCATAAATTTCCATACAGAGGAAAATGCATTATGTATATTGTTTTTTTTCCCAGATACCCAGGATATCATGGCCCACCCTGTACAAATGTGTACTTATTTTTACACTTGTATGACTATGAAGTACTGTATGTTGAAATGTGACCAAAAATATTGTGCAGCTTTTTCATTTTATGACTTTCCCTATGCCTCCTTCCATCGAATAATGAGTTGACCAGCTACATGTTTTAAATACGCAGTGCACAACAATATAAACTGTATGCAGCTGTATCAAAGAGGCACACATAGCCTCGAGCTCCAAAACCAACGTCACGACAGATTGAAACGGTGTTCCCCAGCCTGCCGTCAATTTGCTATGCCATCCACGCGGGTAAGGTCCACGCCAAGGCCACAGTTCCTCAATAACCTGTTCTGCTGAATGTACCCAGCTGGCATCTTAATGAGACAAGCCACCCACCTGGATTAACCTCTTTCTGCCCCTCTACTCCGAGCCATGAGGATGTTTAAACTATATTTTTTAATACAGAAAGCTTTCTCAAAGCAAACGTGTCAACGTGTGTGTGTTGTTCTGTACCAATTTGTCCATCCTTGTGTGGCTTGACGCATTACATAGTGTAGCGTTAGTGCACGGGCCCGCCGCACACTGTACAACGCTTCCGAATGCGAGTTGTACTGAAAAAGACAACAGCTGGCCACTTAGTTCCACACCTTGGGCAATGTAATAAGTGGATTCCCAGCCATGTAAACTCTGCCATCCTGGATCTCGTTTTGAGACTCACCATACAATATGTTACATTGTATCACAATTTCAATCCACAAAAACAGTGTGGCAGTCAAGGAAGTTGTGGCAGAAATAACACGTGAACGATAATCATGAGGAAACGTGTCTACTTTTAAAGGCGAGACTCACACCGATTCAATCAACTGGGTTGGCGAGGCGCGGACTGCTCGTAAATCTCCACAAGTTTCAGTATTTTATCCAATAGTAATATAAAAGTTTCAATATGGTCACATATTGTTGTAAAACAGATTATATGTGTCCTGTGTAAATTGTAATTTGTATTCTATGACTTGACGGCACACGGCTGTGCCTTGCAACTCCCTCTGACTTGGAAGCGGGCTTCTCGCATGTGCGCGCTGATGCTGCTCCCTCCCTCCCCAAGATGATTGCAATTGACTGGATTTAGCTGTCGATCAATGTCAAACTGGAAAGGATGTATGTGGTTGGCTGACCTGAGCTTTACATGCAACTCAAGCATGGCAAGTTCATGTGATCCTATCCTAATTTCATTATTAATATCTTGAATTTTACACACACACACACACACACACACACACACACACACACACACACACACACACACACACACACACAAAGTGATGTTGATGGCAATACAAACAACACCTTTGACACAGCCTCACGCTTCGGTGGTGCACATAAGTTAGAACTGCAGCTTCTAGTGACAAATAAATGCAGCACAAAACTATCAAGAAGAGGAACACAATGACTGAAGGCGTTAAATGGGTTGCAGCCACATTGCCTACCTTTTCTCAAAAGTGCTCCAAACACTTCACACAGCAAGCGTTAGGGTGAGCAGACAGGATCAAACAGTGAGGGAGGGGTTGGGGAAAAAAAAACACACACACACAAAGGCTGGCAGAAACATACCTACAGAAGCACATATTTTTTGCAAGACTAGCTCTTACAGTATAATAATGTAGTCTGGAGCCTGGTGACGAATAGGATCTCCTGAAACCATAACGTATCACTGATAAAGGAAGGACTGCCAGTCAGCTGACAAAAGGAGGGGTTGGGAGTCATCCTGTGTCAAACTAACACCTCACACATGACCGAATAGCATTCACACCTTGTAATGGAGTCCCATAGGCCTTTGCTTTCACTTGTTTCACTTAAAAGATCTTCATTCATCTTCTCTGCCTTTTTCTGCACCTATAAAAACAAACAAAACCGAAACAGAGATTCAACATGCACTCAATTCTCCACACTCGTTCATGTTCTCAAATGCTGTTCTCTTGTGGAACTTCCAAACTTGAACAACGCTTAAAATGTGTGACACAACTTTTGGAGTTTCACCAGTATTCTCTGGATGAACTATTCCTCAAAGTCAAACAACAGTTGGGAGTTCAAACCGTCATAAAATCTGTGAGATTCCGGGAGGAATGAACAAATGTGGAGACAAACAATTCATTGGTAGGCGCATTACTATTATCATCTTTAAATCAGTATCGGTCAATATGTAACAGATTTTTTTTTATTGAATATTTTTCTGTGCGGAGATTCTGTCGCACTATTCGAGTACACCGCTCCCCTACTCACACTCACTCAGCCATGAGAAACTGATTTTTTTTTGTGTGTGTGTTTTTACTCCGTGGTAAACTGTGACTTTGTAAAACCATAACCCTACATTTTAGTATCCCATGAAAATAATGTCCTCGCACAAACGCGCTGATAGGACATGTCAAGGAGAGCATTCTCGGTTCTTTCTCCAGAGTGCATTAGAGTCTTTGAAAATTATATTGCATCTTTGTGAGATAAACAAACACTTATGCAACTGTTAATTCCCTTGTGCACCATTTACTTATATAACACTATTATATAGTGTTTTAAAGTTGTGTAAATTATCCTTGCGAGATAGACATTTATGCAACTGTTAATTCCCGTGTTCGCCATTATCTAATATAAGGCTACTTTACAGCTTACCGTTTACAGTCCTAGGGTTGCTAATTAAAGTTTAAAATTCAGGCGTGCTCTGCTTCTGTGTTCTGGATCATATTTTCTGTATTGTAAAAATGTGTCTTCTATTCTCATTTCATACACTGGTTGGTATCTGTCAACAGTCAATATATGGGGATTTTTTTTAAGTACCCAATATTGATATTGGTCTACAAAAAGTGCTCAAGTTTTACTTATTACAATACGAAAAATACAACAAATTAATAATCACGTAAAAAAATGTATTCTGAGCCAGCAGATGTTCCTATCATATGTCTATCAATTGTCTTCAAAGGGTACGTAGTTTTACTTTATTTGAGTTCTATTTAGTTGAATTACAGACTTGCTACTATGTGTTTTTAACATTGAAAAATGTTCAATGTTCGGAATCAAAGTTGTTTATAATAGCTACAGCTTTGTCCCTGGAATGGATTAATTCATTTTACATGATTCCTACATGGGAGAGCTGTTTTGGAATGAGAACTTGGAAGTCATACAGCGTCACAGAATGGACTGTGTTCAAAGTTGTAGGTTCCACTGTATACTGTACTGTTAACTATTACTAATGATACAAAAAAAAAAAAAAAAAACAACAACAACAGACTCACCCGGACTTTAATGATCTTACTGTGGAAGCTATTCAGCAACACAACAACGTCACCGTTATTTGCTGGGGAATCGGTTCCATCGTGCCTATCAAATAAATGAAAATTATTACTGTTGTTACTTGCACAAAAACTGAACATGACAATATCCGCATAGGAAGAAATGTCATGAAATAGTTCGGCTTGATTGGGTACATTGGAACAAACAAATTCTTTTTCATACACCTCAACTCAATATTCTGAATTATAATCAAAACCAGTAATTACAGTATGCTATACAATATCAGTACAGCCCATAAAACAGGAGTTCAAGAGAGCTAATTTGATTACAATCTGCAATTAGTACTCTGCTCCAAGTCCATGTATTATCATGATGCGATCAAATGTGTACTGACTAAATACAAGTAGACTTAATAGTAATTAAGACTGCGCATTGACTTTTTTTTCTCATTTATTATACAGCAGTTAACTTATTTTGATACTAGTATGACAGTTAATGTTACGTAAAATAGTAAGGTTTCATTCAATTTCCATTGATTCCTCGTTGAAATTTGTTCTCTCTTTATTATTCTATTCTGTTGGATGGCAGTCGGCAGCAGGGGTGACACTAGGACCAACTTCATTACACTCCATCAGTATTAAGAAACACATGACCTGTATTCTATCCATTACCACTTCCCATCTGCACTGTATAACACGGCTGATTTAATGAAAATGTCTGTGCAGTATTGATCGTGTAACACTGGCCTTTCACAGCTATTGAGTTGAAGCGTGGCCACTAGTGTGTTTTTGGCAGGTGCGATCTACTGAGCCTAATGGTGACTGATAGGCTATGATGCAGAGTAAGACTTTAAGAACCCTAATAGGTTACAAAATACAAATAAATTAAAGTACAGTAATCATTTCGAGAAATGGCTTCGTTTTGGGGTGAACAAATTGTATGGTCCAGTGCTAAGTTTTTGGGCAACAGAACCCTTGGCTTTAGGGGTTGTGTAAAAAGGCAGTGGAAATCAATCTGTATAGTTTTGGTGAGGAGTGGAGAGGAGCCCATCTCAATCACAGATGTCAGGGGGAGGAGGTGCACCAGCAAAGGGTGCACAGACACTCAGCTATGATCAGCCACCAAAGCGGAGCAGAGTGCCCGCTAACCACAAGAATAATGACCCTGCCAAGGTGAAAAATGACATCACCTTTTTGCTTCACCTGGAGGATTGGGGAATAAATCTTGACTTGTCCTATATGATTTTCCACAGGAACAGAGGCTCCTGCGTGTCCTAAATGTTCCATGCCAAAGAGGACAGTACCTGTGATCCAATGGGGTCGTGCGGAATGGAGGACCTTGTCGACTGCGCACGACCCGTGAAGACACACAGCCACCGATGAGTACGATTTGGGCCGTTATCACCTTAATAGAAAGGGCTAGAACTTTCTTTGGGAAAGTCTCGGTTTTCAGAGCGACCGCAGCCTCTCTTTGATCACAGAAATTGGACAAACGCCAGCTCGCTTTCGTCTCGCGCGCGCATCCTCTGACGCCTACGCTTTCACCACCTGAAACGCATTCTGCTGCCTCCGACGCACACCGAAGGGTGGATGGCACGACTGGCGACCAGCTGAATCATGACACCCCCCACGCCCATGTTTTCTCTTTAAGAGCAGCCCACTCCTCCTACATGCCTCGTCTGGCCCGCTTCTGTGTAGCGCACAACTCCCTGCACTCATCAAAACCTGGAGTCCAGAAAGTGTCAGCAGCTCCCCACGTTACCATAGCGATGGGCTTCGACAGCTACTGGTATCTGGCAGCTAAAAACGGCCCTTAATGCTGACGGGGATCCGGTGAAGACACCCAATTACTCATTACCTGACCTTCTGAAAACAAGTACATGGGTGGGAAACACGAAAATAATATAGGATGAGATACTGTATATGATCGTGAAAACTCACGACAGAATCTGGTAGATGTCCTCTGATCGTCCGTTCCGCAGCTTGAGCAGCCAGGCACCAGGATTGGCTTTTAGTTGGAAATACCCCTGTTGTTGGCAAAACGGCACAAAAGTGAATAGCACATTGTGGCCAGGGGCTTTTATTCATATTACACCGGTTTAAAGATCACTGCATTGGTTCCCTGTGTGTGTTTCAGGATCAAGTTTAAGATTTTTTTTTTACAATTTTTTAAAATGTCTTAACACTTGGGCCGTCACGTCTATCCGATCTGCTTTTATCATATCACCTGATGTCAATGTTCCCTCTAAGCTACGTGCGTGAGCAATTGCGTACTTCTCTCACCGTCTCAGCGCACACGGTGACAGCTGGTGCGCACCACGCACACACTACATTTCTACACTCATTCCTTCATTTCCACCCCACTTTAATCTACAAACAGGACACCAGACTATTTCCACTTCCATTACAGTTTCAGTTGTGCAACCGAGGGTGCCCACTCAATTGAACGATGGTTTGAGGCATACACTTCCACACATTCACTCACACTCACCACAGACAAGAGGCTGCAGGAGGTGCGCAGACAGCTCCATTCAGGAAGTCCAAACATGGGCATAGTTTACGAGCCCCTTGAATGAGGTTCTTTCGTGTGTCAAGAGTCAGGTGGCTCTGATTTTTTTGTTTTGTTTTATTAAATGACACGTTTTCCATTATTTATGAGTGGAGTATGTGTCACCATAGTTATATAGACTGGAATTTTTAATTACACTTAAAATAGCCTGTGTGCTAAAATTAAAGTAGCGAACTTGGGCCAGTTTTATTTGCGTCATAAATCTCCATTCGGTCATATGTTCTATTTGGATATAAAGGTCATTCTATTTTTTTTCATAACATACGTACATCACGTACCTTGTTATGATCGCAGGTTTTGGACAGGCGTGATACTGGTTTGGGCGCCGTGTGCATGTCTGATGTTGCTCACCGCGGTCCAAGCAATGCTCAGTGAGTTTGTGTGAATGCTCAGACGGATGGAAAATTAGAGGGAACATTGCCTGAATTCGTCTGGTACAGATGTTTTAATGGCTCCCAGAGCCAGAAGAAAAACCTACGGAGAGTTTGCATGCAGCCATTATGGCCCGCACCTCTGGAACAGCAGTCTTTTTTTAGTTTATCCTTTAACAGATTTTTTTGGACAGGGATAGTTTGTCTGTTCACTGATCTATTATTTTATCTGCTCATCTATTTATTGATTTATCAGCTTAATACATTTATATCTTCTTTTATTCAAATTTGGCCAGAGTTACATAAACCAAAAGGTGCCCTGTACCAGGTTGAATTCATATAACATGGTGATCGTAATAGTTTGCAGCCTTGGTAAATCCTGGAATGGAGTAAGTCACTAACCAGGTTAGCCATGACGATGGTATCATACATGATAGGGTCTCGACTCATGCCCAGGGTAAACTGCAGTCCACGAGGAGGCTGGCCGGTCGACAAGTCGAAACAGTGGCCTTCGAGCAGGAGATGCTCAAGCTCATACTCTGCCGTCACGGTCCCACTCACCTGTCATGACATCGCGGTTTTGAATAGCACACAAACAAAAATAATCCACTTAAGGTTGGCCAAATTAAAGTCAAACGGGGGAAGTGGTATACCTCCTGAAGGTGGATGTTATCCAAGTCATGGGGGCTGCGGAGGGCTTGCACCATCCAGCCTTCTGGTGTTATCATATTAAGGGTGAGAAGTGGAGTTTCGGCGAGCTCCGTGAAGCGGGCCATCGGACCGGCAGACATCGTGTCGTTGGCCAAGAAGGTGACATCAGACTCCAAAACATAAGAGTAAAAGCTGCGGACAGAGAAGAACTGTCAAAACCTCCACATACACATACGTAGCTGCCTTGTTTGTCGTGTTGTGACTTTCATTTTTAGTTTTAAAATGAAGTCAAATATAACAAAGTACAGACATGCTGGCATGACGTTTGAAAAACTCTTAAATGAACACTTAAAAGCCATACTGAAAATTGTGGTCCTTTTCACTACCTGGAAATTGTGGGTATAGGGCAACCTACATCATGAGTGTCACCAACGCAAATTTCTTTTCAACACAGTATTTTGAAAATCACCGTGACTCACATTCACGGCGCTGTAAAAGTTACAAGACACGGTCTTTTTGTTGTTGATTTGTTGGGCTGTTTTGTTGCCCCACGGCAGTGCAATTTGCTCAGAGATGCAAGAGCGGGCCCAGAGCAATAAGGCGGCGATATTAAGCAGATTGCATCAGTTTAATCTTGTGGAGTGGAGGAGTGAGGCAGAGATGCTCAGTGAACAGTCCGAGGACACTCAAACAAGCCTAACGGGAGCACCTAATTACAGCTGGAGTGCCGAGCCTACCTCTTGAGGGGCATCTCGGACAACTTGGCCCTGCAATTCATGAACAACCGCAGCCTTAAGTTGACCACTTGACTGAGCACCTGCGGGAGGCCACAGAGGAAGAGAGACTGTTAAAATTAAGAAGCAAAGGCAGAAACAAACAGGCTTCTATGTGATAAACAGCACAGGGTGAAATAAAAACAACCTATATTATGTTCCCGAAAGGATTATTCAATTTACATCACACTTCCTTTGTGAGATAAAACTGTTAGTTCCTGACGTTGCTATCTAGAAGCCATCGTCATTGTCACTGCGGCTCTACTGGAATCCGAGATGCATTTTATCTCAGAGGACACAGCCAAAAGTGACGGTGCGCCCGCAACAGCTCTCTGTCATTCAACAGAGGAGACAGAGAGAGGGGGAGAAAAACCTGACACTCGATCACAGCACGAGAGCAACACTGTTGAATTGAAAGTCGCCATTTTTGCCACTTTGGAGAAAATACTTGCGTTTTGAAAAGTCGCTAAATCTAGCAACAAAGTCATATGGGAAGCAGAACTGTTCTATTTGATTGGTAGCATCAGGTTGGGTGCTAGAAGCATTTGAGGCAGATGAAAGCAGGATAGACATGTCTGTTCAACCCATTTGCGCTCACTCACAAGGCAGAAAGACAGAAATGGAGAAAAAAAGGGGAAAAAAAAAGCAATTCCTGGGCAACTTAAGATTTTCTAGGACAATTAACTTTATTTCCCCCTCATTTTTCAGAACTGCAAAATTGGTCAATCATATTCCAGGTTTCCAGGATACATCGGAACCATGGAAATGCAGGTTTTATTTCACCCGAGTAGCAACTGGCAGAAGCCAGCCACTCAGATGTTGCGAATTTCTAGTCCGTGGCGTATATTGGGCTTTTTTTGGTCAGTGGATATAGATCGATACAACCTTCCAGCCCCCAAGCCAAACACTTCCAATCAAGCCCTTACAGATTGAGCTACTGCTGTTCAGAATATATACGCAATATAAGAAAGCAAAACAAAACAACAAAGGGTCAGTGGCTTTGTGCAGGGGGCTGCCTCAATCACAACCACAAATCAATACAATATGCCAGCATCATGATTTCTCCTGCACACTGCAGTGCAGGACTGAGAGCACACAGCTAACAATGTCTGGTGACGGTAGGTTATTCACTCGCTGCCTGAACAGAGTGAGTCATATTTTCATATTAAGCCAGGCCATCTGTGGTGGATTTCCACAAAATAAGCCCACTGGTCTCTGACAAAGCCGAATAAACACATGCAAGCTCTATTTGACTTCATATGCTGTAAAGTGAAGTTTAGAATGGACTGACTTATGATGTATCCACTGGAAGTTGTGTAGGCAGTATAGTTATGTACATAAATAGTGTCGGATCAAACCTGTTCGACCTCACTAAAGAATTCGACAGAGGTGGATGTGGCAGAGTAAATGAAAAATGAACGACTCCATGTCATGTCCCTTCTACTCAGTCAGTGGTTCTCAAACGTTTTACACCAAGTACCACCCCCGCCCCCCCCAAAAAAAACTCCCAAACGCTCTCTCCAAGTATGACCATAATGGTTCAACAATAATATAGTAACATTGAAGACCCACATGTTTATAAAAATGAGGCACACGTTTTAGTCCCAAAAATAATACCCACGGACACAGACTGCCCTCAATAAGGGCATGTTGCCCCTAAAATTCAAGACAGTGAAAGTAAATTTTTCTTGCGCAAATGCGATTTTAAATTTTCAAGGAAAAAAAATTATTTAATATTTTTTGTTGCCATCAAACTTCTTCTCCACACTTAGCCCATTTATCAGAAAAATAGTGAAAACGGTTGGCGGTGAATATTTACTTGGCAAGGCACACCTCCAATTTTCTACTTGCGCCCCTAAAATTTCATGTGGGGGGCCCACTGTGTTCCTTGGAAAAAAAAAGTTAGTCTGGACTCTGGAGTGCTGTGACATCATGTATCAAAAACTGAAACAGTACCAAAATTTTATTTTTTTACTATTTCCAACTTCAATGGACATTTCAAATTTTCACACTGCTCCAAAGCAGCCACCATAAACGTAATTTGTCTGAGCCAATCGGCAAAGGAAAATAACGATGACCATTAAAAATGATACTTTTCCACCTCTGCATGTTTAAAAGCACTACTTCTTCTTTTAAGGTTGCATGTGATTTTGGGTGAGAGGCCGGGAAGGGCTTGCACTGGTCACCAGCCAATCGAAGAATAGACAAGCTTTCACAGTCTCTCATTTTCAATTTTCATATATTTCAATCAGAATATCATCATCACCCAACGTTACATCACTTTCTCAACTCTAAGCATTGTCATTTTTTTGTGTTCCAGATCAATATGCAGGATAGTATGATGGCTGTGAAAAGATCTACGCTTTGGGTGCTAAATCTGGCTGTCAGCGTTTGCAGTGTATTTTTATGAAATCACAGTAAAGCTGATGTTTATTGCTCCTAGGGAAAAAAAAAAAGTGTTAAACATGGTTTTCATTGGACAGCGACGATAACTTACAATCAGCAAGGGGGACATCTTCTGCGCTGCCCTGGTAAGTGGGTCAACAATGGCCACCACATCAAAGAACACCTCGTTTTCACGGGGTGAGAGCTGCAGCACGCTGAGGAGGGAAATGGAACAAGGCTAGCTAAATACAACCAAAATCAACGGAAAGTGACGTTCAACTTGGAAATACCAAGTTGTCGCATGTTTTATTTTTCAAACACAGCTTGGCCAATTCCCCAGCACAATGGCTAACCTGTGGCTCTCTTTGAGAAATTTCACATCCCTTCGGATCTCTGCCTTGGGCGCTGCAGCCAACAGGGCGTCGACTTTCATGACTAGGTTGCTGCCACTGAGACAAAAAAAAAAAAAAAAAGAGTTGTATTCTTTCAAATCATACGATGACAGCGAAGAGGGCATACGGTTTATGGGATTCTCAAGCATCCATCATGAACGGTCAGAGGGAACATAAAATGGGGGAGAAAAAAAACCCTTACTGCTTTGGCTTCATCCCCATCAGTTTAACTTGGGCTTTGACTTTCTCAGCAGAGCTGCTCCGAGTAATCTTGTCCAGCAATTGGAAATCCTCTGCAGTGAATTCCTCTTGCTCATCGAGTGGCCCGAGGATCTGACACACACACGCGCACACACACACACACCCACACACACACACACACACACACACACACACACACACACACACCAGACTAGAATCATGTTGCAACACAGCAGCGACAAAAATATTGTTTTCACCCCTATTAGTTGGTTAGTTATTAGCATGAGGCAAAATGCACATCACTGGTTTTATTCACACAATGACAACTATGGGTGGAACCCACAGAAAATAAACGATTTGATATTTTGCAAGTGACAGACATATCAACAGACAATGATGATGTCATGATCACTTCTTTTTCTCCATCACCAGCGCCACCCTGAACAAATTAAGACAATAACCCAAAATATACTGGTGGGGCAATTAAGGAATAACTCAAGAGGAAGCGCGTTAAGGTCAGGCAGTGGTCCAGTCCAGATTTAGCCACAGGGCACATATTCATTCGAAAAATCTCACAGCACACCACCAATTAAAACGTCACAAAATGTACAGTATACAAAAAAACGATGATTTCTCTCAATGTGCCCACAATTTAAGTTAATTATGCAGCTTCTGCCATCTGGTGGAAGAGCATTTAATTGTTCTGTCTGTCACGACATGTTGCTGACATGGACATGATTTGTTGTGAATAAATAAGAATTTTCAGACCCAATAAGACCCATTAGTTCTTGATCATCTTTCACAACAAACGAATGTGAAGCGGAACAGAATCACTCGAGTCATTCTCCAGATGTCAAGCCAACAGAAAACCTGTGGAGGGAGAGAGTTGAAGCTTCAAGTTTTCAAGCCGCAGCCAAGAAACTTGAAGGATTTAGAGAGTTACACAAGAGAGGTGGGCCAAGATCCCTCCTGAGCTGTGTAAACCTGGCGACCAACGACAAGAAATGTCGCATCGCTGTGCTTGCCAGTAGGGATTTCTCTGCCAAGTACTCTGTCATGTTTTGAATCAAATAAGAAAATACACAACATTTTGATTCTATCTCTACATACACAATTCATGTTTGTGAATCGTTACTCATAAACTGAGTCCTTTGTGGTACCTTAACGTTTAGCATGAACAGCGTTTGCTAAACCCACTTAAGAATCGGCAGAGCGTGTCCAATCAATGCTCTTAAATAAATGAATGCATTTTCACTTTTACACATAACATAAAATAATGCGGAGAATATAAAGAGGTGCTCCAAACAGCCGCTTTTTGTGTTTATATGCAGAGCACAATCTCATTTTCATCTATCCGCGCCTCGGAAGGTTGAGTCGAGGACATCTGGACTTGAAATGTCTTATTTACTACTTGCCTTGGGTGTGTTGAATGTAATGTGATTGTGACACAATGTTTTACCCACTTAAGTCCTGGTGTTCCGTGTGTTTCCTTCCTGTTGGTTTTAAGATAAGAGCCTCGCTGTCTCTCATGGCAGGGAAACGTATGATTGTTTGAATTGGGCCTACCATCTATTGCCATGGAAACTCCTCACAAGTGAAAACATACAAATAGTTTGTTTCTTTGAGGTTACCCCTTTAAGAAATCAATGCATTCGCACGGAGCGGACATTCAATGCACTCACCCTGCCATTGCTGATGACTGCTCTCTGTCCAGGACTCAGTTTCAGGACATCGCGGCAGAAGAGCTGCTGACTGCGGATGAAATCTACTTCGAGTGTGTTGAACTTCTTCTCAAAGGCATCTGTGTTCATCCCCTAAGAGCAGGGGAAGAAAAAAAAAAAAAGGTTTGCTTGTATTGAGGTTGCGCTGTACAATCCAATAGAGTAGCTCAAGGACTTTTTCCCTATTACAGCATGTCCAAAACAATATCGGAGCAATTTGCAGGGCTGGGAAATGATAAATGAATGACAAGGAGGCCAACATTACATGTTTTTTTTTCTTTTATTATTCACAATAGCCTGGATGCCTTGCGTCAATGCAGTTGTCAGATATTTCAACCCCACCGACTGAGCTGTCAGCCCTCGCATGCGTGAAAGTGAGATTAATCAATTTCTAATTAATAAAAACCAACTTTTAATTAAATCTCTGCCATTTTTTGTGTGTAACAAATTAGGCGTGGGAGTGAAAGGGGTGTGTGGAGTCAGGTTATTAGTTTCTGCAACGTTCCTCTTCTCGGGAGAACAGGTAAACACCAATAATGTCAGCACAATCCAGTCAGCAAGACTGTCTGGCAGCCAATAATAAACTCAAATCCCCTGACTCCGGGTCTCAACAAAATACATCCTTCTATTCCTTACATTGCTATTTCCAGCCCACTCACCTGCCCGCCATTGTTCAAACTAGCTCTAATTGAAGCGATGTTTGTTATAGTCGCTGCTGAATGTAAACTGCGCTAGAAGACATTCTCCAGATGAGAGTTTCAAACCCCGCTGTCACATCTGGAGCCCGCACACAATGGTGGCGAAAGCGCAATGACCAGGCGGCTCGTGCCACCGCAGTGACTGCCCCCGTTTGACCGAAAAGGTCAGTAAAAGCCGACTGAAATCATGCATTCTGCTGCTCATCCATTCCTGGATACAAGGATATCCGACACCGTGCGCCGCCCCCACCCCGTGACGGATCAAGTGAAACTGACAGTGAGTGGACTGCCCACCTCGATATCCACAAGCTGTGAAGCATCGCACGCACTTCTAAACGTATTCTGAGAGCGGTTGTTCAGAAGGGGAATGAGAAGATGGGCTCATCAATCACCATTTAGCCAGACAGGGCACTTAAATCAAGAAAGTGGTGTTGGACAAATCTTTGTGAGTGGCCACATCGGGCCTTTATTATCCTCCCTTTTGCTGTTATGCTTTCCAGTTATGTCTAAAATGCTGTCATTTATTTCACTGACGCAATGGCCCTATGCTCAATTCAGAAATTCGGTGACGCTGATTGATTGCGTGTTTCACCTGTGAAAAATAAAATCTATTTCCTGAGGTGCTTCCCTCTGCACTAGGGAATTACATCTTTGACTAGGAAATTGGTTGAGCTTCAGGAACATCTCCAATTTACTTTCTATTATCATGCAGCAGAAAGCAAAAAAAAACAAAAAAAAAAAAAACAAGAACATATGACATCAAATATGAAGCAAATGTTTTCATAACAGCTTTCGAAAATGTTCTGGGCTCAAGATTTGATTTCACGGAAGTTGGAATCGAAATCTAATATAATCATATGATGAATGATATCACAAGAACTTTGTTGACAAAAAAAAAAGACAAAATGTTAAGACAGTTTTGGCTTCATTGTTGTGAAAATTACAATGATGACCACACAACTGAGATTGAAATTATTACGGCTAGTTCTTTCTGAATTTATTTTGACTAATTAGCCGACTGTGTATTGCTTATTATGCGGTTTTTCCAAATATTGATACCAAAAGTCAGTGACATCACGGCGACATTTTCTACGATAGATACTGTCAGGACAGTGCAGTGGACTGTGTCACTTTTATTTTGTTTATTTAATTGGTGAATAACCACACTGTCTGGCTGATACTGTAATCGTAGATTAATGCCTGATTGATGATATGATTCATGTAACTAGTGGCCGGGGAAGATCTTCATTTGTATGAAATCATTTTTTTTTAAATCCAGTTTCACCAACATACAGTAGGCTGTATTCTATACATACTGTATATAGCTGTACATAACAATTTATGCCAAGTGAATCTGCAGTTCAAAACCAATTATCACACACATCATCTTTATGACTCTGAACTGTACTGTGGTGAAGTGAGTCAAACCATAGCGCTTCGAGGAAACGAGGCGTGTTTCATTCTATAGAAATGTGCAGTGCTGTAATTCGGAGCAGCGACCGCCTGCGCCGAAAGAAATTGCACTGCAGTCTGTGCTTTATAAAAGCAGGGGAAGTGCAGAGGACAGTGGTGCAGTCTGCCACAGTCAGTCACAGTCAAGTGGGAATGTGGGAGGAAAAAGTCAGCGGCAGAGAAGCTGCCAGTCAAATTCCCGCTTGCATCCGAGTTGGGGGGTGAAGTTGTTGGAAAGTTTGTTGGTACATCAGGTCCATCATTGAGTCTGAACCATGACTTATCTGTCATAAAGTGAGAGGCAGCTCCTTTGAATAACCGGGATGACACCTCACTGCTAAAATAGGTCCATGTTCTCAAATAGACGCCATTCCTGTGTGAGTCCCTCAGCCTCGCTCTGCAAATGCTGGGCAAAAGCATGGCAAGCTGTTCTACTACCTTAGCTCAAGCTGTTTGGTGTTTAACGGAGGATAATGCTTTTGAATTTACTAATCAGGCCCAAAGTGGCAAAACCTAAAAATATCACATTGGAGGAAACATCAGTAACTTTGCTGAAAACAAATACAGTACAGTGATCCTATTTGTGGTTTGCGACTGAATGAATCTGTATTTGCAATTTTTTTCCGCGGAGCCTACACTCAGCTGTTTGCTGAAAAACGTATCTGCGTAATGTAATCTCGTGAAGATGCCAGAAGACGCCTCGGCTATTGAGAAAGTGGTAATTGGTGTCAAGGAAGATTATTGAAGTGCTTCATCTCGACTTCTCTCACGGTCCAATGACCATGCAAATATCAGGTGCAATTCAGGCATTTTGTGTTCCTACTATATCCACATTCTTGCTGCATTTGCATCTTTGCTGAAACGCGCAGCTGAAGAAAGGAAGCTTCTTTAGTCCTTTTTCTCATATGTTCATTTAACTTTGCTTTTGATATTCTATTTATATTTGGAATGTAATGGGCTAATTTAGGACCTCTAGTATCAAATGTGGGAAGGGGGTGCAATGACTAACATTTTTTTTTCTATTTGCGGCATGGCCTGGTGCCAATTGTCAGCAAATATGTAATGGGCTAATTTAGGACCTCTAGTATCAAATATGGGAAGGGGGTGCAATTACTAACATTTTTTTTTTCTATTTGCGGCATGGTCTGGTGCCAATTGTCAGCAAATAGCAAGGGTGTTGTACTGTGATTGTACAGTGATTAAAAAAAAATAGACAAATAAGATGTCAGCAAACCTTGTGAGACTTCTGCTCTGTGAGCATCTACACAGTAATAACTATATACATTTTTGCTTTTGCGTTTTTCTTCTTTGTGTAGTTTGTGATGCCATCACAAAATGGTACCAAGTTAGCTGAAAGATGAATACAATTTGAGCCTGCAGGGCAATTTCCTCTCCAATATGTGTCCGTCGGGGTCTTGAAAAAAGTAATTTTACTTTTTTGAGTATTATTATACGGTGGTTAGCTTCTATTATATATAATGATTGATAGTTGTATATCGCTGACGTCGGACTGAAACCTTCTGTAACAATTTCGTAAATTTCATATTTTGCACAAATCTATGCTATTTGTCCGTCCACGCGTGTGAGTGTTATTTTTACAACTTATTGATCAATCTAAAGTGTTTAAAATGGCTGGCTCTCTTTGAGGATGCAATGTTAATGGTTAAGCAAACATTCCTTTTTGGGGTCTGCTGAAAAGTGCTGATTTTGGAGGTACAAGGATGCCAGCAGATGACGCAAATACATGTTTGAGAAAGGTGACGGTTTGACTCTGCAATGAATTCATGAAAGAATATGCTGTGAAATTACAACTCTGAAGTATTGTGCTTGACTTTGAATGTTTCACTGTAGAGCCAAGTGATTCACCTGAAATATGAAATAAACACACGTTCCCGCTAACTGCATACTCGGAAGCGTCCTTTACCTGCAGCAGCAAGTCCTTCATCTTGGTCCCCTGCAGGAGGAGCTGGTAACTTTCTTCCCTCGCAAGTTTTTGCACAAACTCAACTGCGGATTTATTCTTTTGGGTGAGGATCGAAGCCCAGATAGCCCGGTACACGGCCGTGTTATCTTCGCTGGGCCTTCCGCTGGGATTATCCATCACCCCCACACGCACTCCAGGGCTGGTACTCTGCTTGTGCATGCGCACACGCACACGCGCACACACACACACACACACACACACACACACACACACACACACACA